CCCCGGCTGTCAGCAGCTGCGCCCGCCGCCGCTACATCCTCCTCCTCCGCCCGCCCCGCCTCCCTCTCTCCCTCCCTCGGGCTGCTTGCTGTTCTCCCGGAGCGCCCGGTGGCAAGAGCTCGCCTTCTGGTTGGCTGGCTACCCGCCGCGGGGGGAGGAGCCCCCGGAACGCCGCGGATCTCGGTGGCGTTCTGCGGAGGAACAGGGAACTCCCCCCTCGGGGAGTGACGTCACAAGCGAGAGCGAGAGAGGGGCTTCCCTGACTCGGCTGATCCTCCCCCGTCGCCCAGCCTGAGGCCCTCCCGCCCGGGGTCTCAGATGAGCGGGGCTGCCGGCTGGCGCTGGTGAGAGGAGTCGGTCTTCAGAGACTAGCTGGGCGGGGACACAGGGACACAGAAGGGAGGGCACAAGGAAGTGGGGTCAAGCATTGAAGAGGTTAAAATAATCTAATCTCATCTCAGAACGGCAGAGCTGGAAGGGTGCGGATCACCCAGCCCCTACCCAGGAGGCCCAGTGGGGAACCGAACTCCCAACCAGACACCTAAACCACACTGAGTTACCCAGCAGTTCCTAGAATAACACGAAATTGGGGGAAGAATGTTAGAAAAGTAAGCGAGGAAGGTGTGGTTTGCACCAGTCATCTTGCACAGAACAGAGAGGAAATCTCCCAGCCCCTTTTTCACATTAAACGATTCAGTAAAAAACCAGAGGGACTGAAGACTTTCTGAATTCTTTCCCCAAAGGTCCCGACGTTACTGTGCCGTAGCCCCTTCTTTGCCATTTAACAGAGAAAATGATTGCACAATATGAATATTGCCTTCTTCAAACAAACTCGGGTTCATGCATGTGGGATGTTGTGTTTCAATATCCAGGATTCAAAACGCCAGGAAACAGCCCAATATTGTTGCACAACATTTTGCCCAGGTTGCCAGTAGGAAAAAGGATGCCAGGCTTTCTCCAGCTGAGGGCAGGTTGGGTGTTTGTTAATGACACACTTGTCAAACAGTCAAGATGGTCTCAGGATATTTTCTTGTGCTCAGTACCATTCACAAAGACACTAATTTTTTCAATCCAAATAAGACAGCCAATCAAATGCCCTAATTTAAAGGTTCAAGTAAATCCCCTGTAAGCCTCATTTTGCAAAGAAAGATCGACACTGCACATCTCTGAGAGTGATTTAAAATAAGATTTTGCTATAAGTATCTACATCTATCCTTTAGCAGTCTCGTAAATTCTGGATTTGTGGTGCTCCATTCTTGAGCATAAATGAACATCAACCCCAAAGAAACGTTTGTTGATACACATGGCTGAGTGTGATGTGAGTCAGGTTGCATGGGGTAGAAGCACTCCAAATTCATATGAAATCTTTGAGGATTAATAATCCAGTACCTTCCAGCTGCACAGATATGTACTTGAGTGCACACAGTTAATCTCAAAGATACATTTCTTCTATATATTTTTATTACTTTGTGGCTCCAAGCAATAGATACCTAGAGAACCTGTTGAAAAGTAGCCTTGACAATTGCTTTGTGTTTGGGCGAGAAGTGTTAATTGATTAAAAGGAGCCAGCTTCTGTGATTTTCCCTTGCATGGTATCACTTTGTAAATGGTACTCAGCACAAGAGGGTATCCTGTAGACCAGGGGTCCTCAACCCCTGGTCTGAAGCCCAGTGCCAGTTCGTGGAGATAGATCTCCTGCCCCTCTGCATGCACTCCTCTCACACACACACACCTGCACGCACAACCTGCCCACCCACCCACACAGGTCCCCCGCCCATCCACGCATGCATGTGTGCCCTGCCCACCTGCAAGCACACACCACTCACCTACGTGAGTGCCCCCTGCCAACCTGTGCATGCCTGTGTGTGCCCTGCCCACCTGCAGGGGATGCCCCTCCCCCTGCACCCAGACCCCGTCCCCCCAACTGGTTCGCTGTTCAGAAAAGGTTGGGGACCACTGCTGCAGACCATCTTGACTGCTGTCATGGGTGTTGTCAACATCTTTTTTTTCCTGCTGGCAATGCAAAGACAATATTGTGCAGCAATATGCAATAATTTCCTGGCAATTTGAATCATGGACACAGAGGTAAAATATCCCACATTCATAAACCGGATGGCTGGGTTGGTTGGTTGGTTGTTTTAAGAACTGAATATCTGTATAAGTAGATGCTTGTTTTTGTGCAAGTTCCAACAAGAACATACATTAGTCCTTGGACAGCTTCTTCACAGAAATAGACAACCCTCAGCACAGCTCTTAACTATCTCTCAGAGCAATACATATTTACATACATGATATATACAATGGGGAATGGCCACATTGTCATAATATCTCAAGGCAATAAATGGGGAAGCATATTCACATCTGCATTGCAACAACAGATGAGAAGAATATTCAGGCCTGGCACTGCTGTTAGACAGAGTGAGGCAGTCGCCTCGGGTGACAGATGTCAGTAGGTGGCAGCAAAGGGCTGGGATGAGACCTGTTGGCTATGCAGCTTGCCCTGTGCAAGGCCCACCATCTAAGTTCTCCCCTCCAGGAAGGACCGGAGCCCTGTAAAAGTCTCTCCAAGTCCCATCCCAGAGAAGCAGTCCAGAAGAATACCATGGTCAATGGTATCAAAAGCTGCTGAGAGGTCCAGCAGAACCAAGAGACTCACTTCCTTGTCTAGTTCCCAGTGCTGGTCATCCACCAAGGCAAAGCTGTCTTCATTCCATAACCAGGCCTGAAGCCAGATTGAAATGGATCTAAATAATCTCGCATCCAGATATCTCATGAAGATCACAAAAGGCAAGGGGTGGAAAAGAAAGTCTGATTTGTACTGGTGCTGGATACACCACAAGATCATGGCCCTAATGCCTACCTGGCCACCAAGGAAATATTCTTCATTTTCTTCTTGTGTGCCATAACAATTCTGCTGCTATTCAAATTTATTTATTTATTTAGAAATAAAAACATACCACTACAGTACTCTTGATGGCTTACAAAATATTATTAAAACCATATAAAATATATAAAACATATTAAAAGAAAACAAAGAAACCCTACCCCCCCACACACAGGGTTTTTCAAAATCAAAAGTGGAGTTCTAGGTGCTTGCCTTTAGGGGAATTTTTGGTGGTCTGTCCATCCTCTGGAGGGCCACAGAGGCAGAAGACTGACCCTGGAACGAAAAAGGTGCCCATTTGTGGTCTATAGCAGGAGTTAGCAACATGCAGTCTCAACAACACCTCACACACCCTACAGCTAATCTTAGTTGTTGAAAATGCAAAGATTTATGGTTCCAAAAATCCCTTGTGCCTTCTGGGGGTATCGGGGCACCTTTATTTTGATTTGAGGGACACACACACACACCTGGTCTCCCCACTCAAAAAAGTTGCTATTTTTTATTGGCCACTAGATGGTGTAAGGTGGATTTTTCAATTTAGAAATCCTTATGTTTGTAAGGTAACATTTTGGGAATGCGGTGGTGGGAGCATGTTCTAAGTACAGAGATGGGGGTATATCACGCCAGGACACCTGGAGATTGTCCACCTCTAGTCCACAGCTATCATCACCGCTCTCAGTTTCTCAGATTGACCATGATATAAAAAAACCTCTGCTCACAACCACATACTACAGCCGAAAGGTTTGGATTATGCTTCTCACATGATTTTAAATTTTCATTGGAAAGGAAATTCTGTGAAATGAAATAAATACCTGATGTCTTTCCTTGCCCTGTGTGGAAAAAGCATGTTTGAATTTTTTTATATGACTGGGAGCCATTTGCAAATGGTTCCCTGAAACAAATTTTCCTTTTAGAACTTTTCTGATCTTCCTATTTCTATAAAAAATATACACATTGTATAGTACCTCTGCACAGATCTAAAACTGCACTACCACATTATCTACTTTTCATAACTCAATTACTCAAGAACTATATACAAGACACAATACATCAGTTCATCTAGTCTAATGGATAACAGCTCTCCAGATCACTCGCCCTTCAGTTATACACTGCACAGAGAATGCTGTGGACAGAGGACATTCATTTCCTTTTCTACAAGGAGCTACAATTCTCATATGTTCTCTGTTCTGTCCAACAGAGATTTCTGGGGTGAAATTTGACATGCTAAGAAATCTGTAACCAAATTATCCATTTGTAATTTCAAAGCTCCTGCAGATGGGAAATTTAATGTCATTTTTATATATCATAGTATATATTTGCTCTGTTACCTATGGGAAGACCCTACAGGTGCCTTAGTATCACTTGATCCATCCTGTTCACTCCCATTTTCTTCTGCACTTAGAAAATTACTAATTGGAAATTGGCTAATTAGTATCACATCCAGTTTAATTTGCAACATTCTAAAAGTAAAGTCCACAGGATTCATAAGTGGGGGGGCACACAGATATTATGGCGGTTATGATTTAAAACTATACATACATGAAGCTTATATATGTACAGTATGGCAATTGGGTTGCTCGTTCTGCAGAATAGTGGAACTATCAGAACGTCTGTTGTGTTCCTGATTCTGGCTGAATGGTTCGGAATAGGGATTGGTCATATATATGTAGGCATCCTTCAATTTCAAGAGACTATAGTAATGTGCTCTGAACAGAGGTCTTGGAACAGCGTCTAGTGTGGCTGAGAAGGCCAGATCAAGAGTGACAATCCCTTCCACAGTGAAGACAAATACAATCTGTCCCCTGTCCAGCTCCCTGATTTTACTGGTTTTGGGACTGCCTCTTCGCCTTGGCCTGCTGAACAAGGGTCCCTTCAAATTGGGAGAGGCCATGCTGCACCCCCTGCCTCCAGGCTGAACGCTCAGATGTCAAGGTTTCCCATCTGTTGAGGTCCATTCCTAAGGCCTTCAGATCTTGCTATCTCCCTCTGCATCCTTGCATCACAGCTGTGATCTCCCTCTGGGGTGCTTTCCATGCACTAATTCTCCATACAGGAAATCTTTTGGAATCCGACCATCAGCCATTCTCATTACATGCCCAAGCCAACGTAGACATCACTGTTTCAGTATTGGTCAGTATTTCACAAACCAAACCCCAACTTTTCAGAGTTTATATAATCAGCATGATCACACCCATTCCCATATACAGTATGTTCTTTTCAAGCTGCAATTCTTCAATGGCAAAGCCAGCACTTATTGATTTTTAAAGAACTATGCAGACCCCAAGGCACCAGAGCTTGCTTTCAGTTGTGCTATGGTTGCTTTGAAATTAGTACAAGCTGTGTTGCCAAATCGCTTGTTCTGAAATATGTTGCCTTTATCAAGATACTCCAGAGCTTGTTAAAAAAGAAGCCACTTTAATTTAAAGCAGCTCAAGTCCAATAGAAATAAATGCAGTGAGTTAGTAATTCCTCGTGTCTTACTGAAGCAAATGGAAAACAAAGCAAAATGTTACTCTTGATCCAAGCTAGTGAAAAATAAATGTTTAGGTAGGCTAATGAAAATTAGTTTTGCAAATCTCATTCAGGCATCACCCAGCCCTGATAATTCTTTTTACATTATAACATGGAGTACCTTATATCATCATCATCATGATCCATTCTCCTGCTCTGGATATGAGGTAGATTTAAGGCACAATATTTTATATAATGTTTTGTAAGCACCTTTTTGGCTGTACTTGTGGCTTGGTTTTTGCTTTAAAAGCCGAAAGGGACATACCACAGATACTGATTTTAGTCTTGAAGAGATACCAATATCTACACATTGATATTCTTTCTGTATGATTCTTTTTCTCTGCCGGGGGGTGGGGTTGACAACAGAAATTGCACACACATTCCTGTTCCTTTGGCCCTCAAAAATGATTAAACTATTTTGATGTGGCCTTCACGGTCAAAAGTTTGGAGACTCCTGTTCTAAGTGACTAAAATGCAGCAAGGCAAAAGGTTCCCACGTTAGGAAATGTATTCTTGATTTTTGTATGAATGCTCTCAATTGCTTTTCAGATTTAGGACTAGACGGAAGAGGTGGATTTGATGTGTACTTCCTGAAATTCCATCACTGTTTGGATCTATTACATGTATGGAAAGCAGAAAAGGAACATAGTAAGGTTTTTCCTCCACGCAGAAACTTACCACCTATATTGCTTCTTGATTTTGAAGCATGCAAGGACATGTTTTTCACCAACACTTCCATATATTTTGTTATATATACATACTGATCCTCTACACACTGAGTTCTATACTCAGAGTAGGAAGTTTTCCTAGTACAGTATATGTATTCTGACACGTTTGTAGTTGCTCTTGGATGTGATCTGGTATAGCAATGCTACTGTACAGGAAGGAATTGTACAGTACCATGTAACTTAGTTTTATCATAGTTCTCTAGACTGTGACCATGGTCTCCAGTGAAGGAGAGAGAAGCTTGTTTTAAACTTTAAGTCTTAAAAATGAATTTGTAAATTTATCAGCCATTGCACCACACTGTGCACTAAAAGATCTGGTTTATTAACACTCAGAAAGTTACATCTGTGCCTACAGTTGACTTAAAAGCAAATGAGCTTGATAAATATTTCTAGGGAGAAAAAGTAAAAGTAAACTGTAAGGATGAAGGGACCACATTTTGCTGTATCTTGTGATCAGAATGCATTATTTGTTGTACTACAATTTATTGCAGCCAAAGTGATCTGAAAACCCAAATTAGCTTTGTGGCCTGGTTTTATGAATGGAGGACGCCTTCAGACTTCCTTTCCGAACCGTAAGTCAGGGCATATTTTCTAATTGCATTATTTTGTTACTTAATGATAACCTTCAATACATTATTTACAAGTTGTAGCAAATGCATACAATAAGACAAACTCAAAGAGTCATTTTTCTGAACATTGCTTTTACTTAAATTTTTTATAAAAGCATTTGGTAACAAGGAAAAATACAGCATATTTAATTGGTAGATATTGTAATGCTAATGGCACTGGTTGATTCCTGCACAAAACAGTACAAAAGAAGTGGGCCATGTTAACTTTCCTGAACATTAGCTTAATTAAGTTATGGTGCTCCCACATCTTATGTTCATGTCATAATGAGACACTTTGTTCAGAGAAACCAACCCTGAAAGCAAGCAGGTAGTAGACTTGCCATTATGACCATTTGATAATAGTGTTAGACAACAGTGAAACAAAAAACACACCTTTTGCAGTGAATAACCTTGGCACAACTCAAATCCATGCCAAGGAAAAACAAGTGAGGTTAATTTGTAAATGCATCACATCCAGCTCAACATTCTATAGTTTTGGGGTGGAGGGGAAGAAATGTAACTTTTCTTTATAAATGTTTGAAGAAAAACCATTTTGGGGAGTCTGTTTCAGCAAGCCTGAAGTCAATGAATTGAGCATCAGTGGAAGTTTTGCCATTAAATTCTTCATTTAAATTCATATGCTATGTGCTAATACATGTAAATGCTGGTCATACACCTATGTGTTAGAGCAGAAGAAAATGCTGATACTGCTAAAGAGTCTATGTCCACCGAATGTCAACAATCTACTGCCAGCATTTATATGTTTTGACTCCATGATTTCTGCTGTGTTGTATCCTTTTGGTGTTCCTATACTCCACTGATAGAAAACAATTGAGAAAATAGAAAGAGGAATTTGGAGCGATTTCCCCTCATCCATATAGCCTCCTGCACCCTGTTTTAAATCCTATTTCCAAAGATTCCTTTAGCCTTTGGAACAAATTTCTATGAACAAAACAGAGGGACAAGAAGATATAACACATTCTAAATTGTGAGAACAAAACAGAGGGACAACAAGAAGATATAACACATTCTAAATTGTGGAGTCATTCCTGTGAATTCTGGCCATTGTCCAAACCCACATCTGTATTTTTAGTTACTGCCTGAACTATTGTCAACATTCTTTTTTTACTCTAAAACTCCATCTTTTAAACATTCCTTACACATTTCACATAAGCTAACTGTCCAGCAGGAATTTAAATAGTTCTATTGGCTTATATATGTATTTTAACAATAAATTAGTTTTCTCTGATGACATTAGTAGACATTATTTGAAACCTTTGGTATCATCAGGTAAAGTAGGTTTTTATTTTCATATATAAAATTATTTTTTAAAAATGTAAAAATCAACCAAGGTATATGTAAATTGTAGTGGCATTACAGAGTTGTAATATGTTCAATCCCATTAAAGAGAATAAAAAAACAGACCAAGGATCACTTCTGGTTTCACCAGTCATATATCACAAACTTGCCTTCACTAGTGAGAATACAAAAATCACTGCCTGACAATTTCTGTTACTATGTATATGGCTGGAGAAACCTGTATCGTGCCCTTTGTCATTTACTATGGTTTGTTCATTTAACTTCAGAAATCTGAAGTTGATAATTATGTTTGGATGCTTTTATGGATGAACGATATTTATCAACTGATCATGTGATGTGTTCTTTGGCACCTCTTAATCTCATTAAGCAGCCAACATCCAGGCTCCTCTCAGGAAGTATTCATTTGGCACCAGAGTGTCACTGATGAGTGGGATGAACTGCATAATGTGACTAGAAAAACATAACAAGGGGTAATAATTATTGTGTATGTGTGTGTGTATACAGTTGTCTTTTCTCAGATCAGTTGCACAACATTTGGTCCACTTCTTCAATTAGCTAGTCATCTTAAGAACTTTGGTTATAGCACAATGTTTGGTAAAAGTATAGAGTCAATCCATTTTCTGGTCTTCATTGTCTTCAAGTGGATTTTTCATTGTCCTCTCCTGTTTTCTGAACCCGGGAATATTTTTTACATGAAGACTTGAAACAGCTAGGGGGCCAAGATATTGGCCATGAGAAACAGCAAGGAACTGAGCCTTGTATATTCTTCTCAAAGAAATTGAATATTGGGTACCACCATGCTCGAGACAGGAAGTTGGTCTGTGATGATATTTTCAAGTTCTGCCATAAGGGAGAAAAAGCAGAATACATATATTATGTTTGTGCTTAGACTGTACACACACACACACGGTTATGGCCACTTGGAACATGCTAACTTTTCCTTTAATCAAAAAAAGAAGTGCCTACAGGTTAAAAATCATAGGAATAACTATCAAACAAGATGATCCTTCAGGTTATATGCTTACACTTCTTGCACTCAAAATGCACACTCACTCCATTAGTTTCAGAGCTTTACTGTTATTTGGATTTCAGTTCCTAGAATATCCAAACCTTCATGGCTACTGACTGTAATAGGAGTTGGACTGAGGGAGATGTAGTCTTAAACTAGTAAATCTTCCAAGCTAATTATTTTTAGGCAATATTGCTCCTTACAGTGTAACTGCAGAGACACTAAAGCTATGAAGAAACCATTAAATGCATATTCATCTGTCAGAAAATAACCAGCACTCCAGACATAAAAAATCTAAATAGGACCAATTTATTGTGAGAGAGCCAGTAAGCAACCATTTCCACTTGGCTCTTCCCAAAAGCCAGAGTAACTAGAAAAACTGCATACAATTCATTTGTGCTTGGTATCTATAAATGAGAAACTCTAGCTTGTCTTGTCAAGAAATCAAGTCATTAGCTAAAGTCAGGATCTATGGTTTGTTTAGTAACTACGGTACTTAACTAATCTACAGTTCCCCCACTGCTGCTTCCAAATTAGGTTCTATGATTATAACTCAAGCTTTGAAACCCATGCAGTGGTACTGCACATTTAAATGCTTAATTACGCCTAGGCGAATTTATTGGGAATAAGGTTACTAAAATATACTGGATTTGCTTGTATGTTATGTGCAATAAAGTTGCATTTGAATTATGAAGAACCTATTTGCGTTTTCAAGACATGTGAGATATTTAAAGAGTGGCTTTACCAGTGCTACCCCCCCCAAGTGAGTTTCAATGGCCATGCAGGGATGTGAACCCAGGTCCCCCTGAATCTTAGCCTGTCACTCTATCCACTACACTACAGCACACTGGCTTCTCAGGATCTGTTCCTCAGTATAGATGGACAGGACTGGGCATTTCATTCCATTCCTTTTTAATTCCTTTGAATGCAAATGGACTTTGTTATGCTTTGCTGGACTGAAATGTCATTTTACTAAGCCACGTGACCTCAAAAATAGAGCAATGTCCTCAAAAAGAAAAATGAGATACCACCACAACGTTTTGTTTTAATGCAGGTATCATGCCATTATACATTTTTCAAAATAGGTCTATAGATTTCAAATAATCAACAGTGTTTTGAAAGTGTGAGAAAATAACGAGCACTCTTACTTACCTTTTCATTTGCCATTGCATGGTACCACCAAAAGAGCCTTGTGGTAATATAATAAGCAATTACAACATCTACAGTGTAGTGTTCATGTCCTACAAGGATACAGATTATTCCAGCAGCACTCATGCACCAGCAGATCAAGTGATACCACCAAAAGTGACGAGGTGAATCTGTCCAAAAATGAACACATGTAAATAAGTTCAGTTTGGGAATGACACCTGCAGTTGAAAACAGACTGAGCTTAATTTGAATTTATTGGTATGCATAAATGTGTTTATGCATGCATGCATTTGCACATGCACTAAGATGCAAATTACACATCTATGCTTAATTTACACAAGTTGCCATATACAATGAACCCATATTGTGGGTCTAGCAGTGGAAGTTCTTTCTTGAACAAAGTTTTTTAAAGAGCTGGGCTTTTTTGTCAGCTAGCCTGAACAATTTTCACTATGCTGAACGGATCACACATCCATACCACAGATAAAAGGGCGATATAACAAGCACCATCTTCCAAGCCAGAGGTCTCAGACTCAGTCCCTGACATTTCTAGTTTTTGTGATAAGGAAAGATCTCTGCCTATGATCTTGGCGAGCCAGTGCACTTGTAAAGGAGACAGCCTAGTGCAAATAGATCTATAGCAGTCTTTGTACGTCCATGTACCATTCATTGTGTACATCATGTCAGACAGTACAGTCATGCCTTTAAACAATCTTTTAGTAATTAGTGATGCTAAGTATTGACCCTTTCTCTACATAAACTGCCTACCCCACCTACTGTAAACTACCACTTGTGTTATACAATCCCTCCAGTTGGGTTCTTTGCTACCTGGAACACTGCTTTCTTGCAGAGCCAAAAAGAGCAGAAGCAGAAAAACAAGGAGTAGTATTGCATGATTTATTTCTGCCTGTTCCTACTGCTTCTCCCAGAACCAACATTCCCCATTTTCTTCCGCAGTGCCCTGTGCCTCTGAAAACCTAGAGGGCTAGGAAGCCCTCTAAATTAGGTTGTTGTTGGGTTTTTTGGGGGGGGAGCAGGATACCACAGAGCACTGTAGAACAAGGAAAGGAAGATCCAACTCCACTACCATTGGATACAAAGCTAAAGAAGTGGATCTTTGGCCAAGGAGTGTTAAAGAATACCTCTCACTGATTTCAGCCTCACAATTATGAGCTCATAGGAACAGACTTCTGTACTGCAATAATTTGGCATCCAAAAGCATAAAGTCAAAGAAAATATTTGTATTACCAATCCATTTACCTAAGAGGAGTGTAAATGGTATTGGCTACTATACTACTGAAGTACTTTTCCCATCGATGATGACTTAGGAGCCACTCTCTTACACATCACAGCACACAAATCGTAATTGTGTTTAAGGAAGAAAAAATAAGGCCAAAATTACATCACAGTATATTTAATTTCCTTTTCTGAAGGATAATGGCATCAGTGCCTATTTAGGTTATTTCATCCAGTTTATGCAATTAACAGATAAAAAATAAGCAGTGCACTACCGTGTTTTATTGCCAATTCAAAAAATAAATGGGAATGGGGTGGCAATTTTAGACACACTTATCCCTTAGTACTATTCCTATAGCCATAAAATATTAATGGAAAAGGCTTCTGCAATTTCAAGTCTAGGTAGAGTTTTTGACTATGAGTAGGGATACTCATTGAAGGATGATATGGAGCTAGTAACTATCCCCCTGACCAATGTGTCTCAGAGTTGGTGTGAAGATAAAATGGAGAGGAATTATACAAACCAAGGTTATGGAAGGAGGGTTGGAACATAATTACATTACGTATTTATTGCTCTCTACTAGAGAATTCAGAGGTGAGAAGCAATTAAATACAACTTTGAGCAGCAGGATAAGCACTCTCCTTTGTACTAGGCTATCTCACAGCTATCCAAAGAAGCTGGGGGATGCATCTGTCCTTTACAATTTAAGGAAATTTGTGAAGAGAATCAGCTAAATTTGAGAACACAAATTTACACTAACCTAAGTTCTTGGGGTCTGGTTTATACACTGCAGCCTGAAGTCATTCAAGACAGAGTATACTAAATATGAACAACTCCTAACATACTTGTATCATGAAACAATTTACCGGGTAACTGGAGCAATAACCTTTAGGCCAGTGGTCCCCAACCTTGGGCCTCCAGATGTTCTTGGACTACAGCTCCCAGAAACCTTGACCACCACCTCTGCTGGCCAGGATTTCTGGGAGTTGAAGTCCAAGAACATCTGGAGGCCCAAGGTTGGGGACCACTGCTTTAGGCAACTGCAGAGCCATTGCAAAAACTGCTCTGATTGGTAAGGTGCTCCACATAAATGATACCCATGCAATCACGTTTTACAGTTTTAAGCTACTCCCCTAATGTAAGAACTGACCCAGACTTTCTACTGCTATTGTCAATACTACCGAATCAGAAGCATAAACTATACTTACTATAAATATGCATTTCAGATTATTTTTATACCGAACACTGAAGCTGGTACAGCTTCAATAATTCTTGAAGCTATACTAACTTCAGTCCTTACAGAAACATCTGTAAAAAATTTTTGCAGAGAAATGTATCTGATAATGAGTAACTAATGAAGACTTACATTCCTTGATAAACAGGTATGTGAGTGTCAGCACTACAGTGTGACCACTGAACAAGAAATCTCCACATAAGATGTGTGAGCCTGTTATAGACAGTCCACCACCAGAAATTAGTCGCAGAATCCGCTGAACTTTAGCCTGAGAATCTCCGTTTAACTAGATTTAAGATGTGGGGAAAAGAACAAAGAAAAAATGAGCTGAAAGAGATATTTGTTACTTTAGCACTAAAATTCTAAGCCGCTTCATCTCACACATCAAGTCAATGTATATCAGCCCATTCATTTACCTTTGGAGCACACTGAAAATGCATTCCAGGCACAGGTAGAGTGGTGACGTACATAGTAATGCAGCGGTAGAGGTACAAAGTTCCCAATATAAAAAAGAACCTTCGTCCCACGATTGATCTGAGAAAAAACAGTCAAGAAAATATTGATAACGTTATGCTAAAAGTACATTTCCTCTGAAGTAAAGGAGTTACAATGCCTTAAACAATTCAACAGTAAACCTTCTTCACTCTCGATTTGTTTCTGTTCTATATGTACAGTGCAAAGATATCTGAAGACACTGAAGAACCACTGCCTGTTTTAGAGGATGATTTAACTACTATTTCTTTCAAAAGGGCAGGGGAGGGTTAATACTTTTATTCCATGTTCTATGAACATTCCAGAAGCACCTGGATGGCCACCATGCTAAACCACATGATGGACCAGATGGCCTTTTGTCTGCTCTATCAGGAGTCTTAAGACTTAGCACTTAGCTATCATAAACAGACATGGGGACGAATAAAATAAATGGATCACAATATTTTCGCGAAGGCTTTCATGGCCGGGATCTAATGGTTGTTGTGGGTTTTTCGGGCTCTTTGGCCATGTTCTGAAGGTTGTTCTTCCTAACATTTCGCCAGTCTCTGTGGCCGGCATCCTCTATGGCTGTCCTCTGAAGATGCTGGCCAGAGACTGGTGAAACGTTAGGAATAACAACCTTCAGAACACGGCCAAAGAGCCCAAAAAACCCACAACAACCATTGGATCATAATATTCATCAGAAATCGCTGATTCATTAAATATTTGTCCCTTCATATTCGTGGGTCCCAGAGACCCCCACTAATATCAAGGGATGAATATTTCCTCATTTTTATTTGTCCCCCATACGAAGAGAGGGAGGACTAGCCTTCCCTCTCTTCCTGTGGCTTTCCCATTCTGCCTATGGGTCCACTGATTAGCTGATCAGCGGGCCAATAGGCAGCCAATGCACCTCCACTGTCTCCAGCTGGCTTCCGCAGCCATGGCCTGTAGAAAGGGACACTGGCTGCCCTTTGCAAAGATGTCAGCTGCGGCTTCATTTAGGGTAAGGGAGCTGCAGCTGCCATCTTTGGAAAGGGCAGCCTGGATTCCCTTAGCCTGCCCTTTGGGGGGGAGCTTTGTGCTTTGTGAACTCTGACAAATTATGAAACAGGACGACTTGCCAAAATGGTGAGTCGTCCCCATCTCTAACCATAAACTGTCATCTGAACACAATGGTATAACTGGAGATGGTTATGAGATTTTTTAGGTGGCTATGTACCTGACTTCAGTTGCAATAAACCTTCATGTGTATTACTTCAGTTGTAACATGTAGCATTTCAACCTCTTTTCTTTCTGCTTTACAACTTTTACTTTATTGCCAAGGTTGCAGCAAAAACCTCACCAACTCCAATAGAAAACAAATATTCCGAGCATGCAATGTTGTATTATAATCTCCTTTAAATCACAGCACCAAGTGATTTAAAGCACAAAGTACAGGAATAAGATGGAGTTTGCGTTTGCTGCTGTGATGAAAATCACATTTATTTGCTAATAATTAATACATTGTTACAGAAAATCATAGCAAAGAATAAGTATATATACTTATGTGCTTTTATGTACTATTATGGACAGTCGCCATCCTTTCAGTGTTTTTAAAACAAAAACTGCCAACTCTGATATTGTTGCCATGCTCATTTGTTGCTTCACCTATCATCACTTATTTTCTGGTTTTGACAATTAATCCTAGTTGGGCTACGAACTATCACAATGTATTTCAGGATTTTGGATTTACAAGGTCTGCAATATTAACACTAAGCCAAGTGCCATCGTTTACATTTTAAGACAGAGCAAGTTGGGATTACAACTATAGAGAGAAACCTAATATAATTGGATTAAAATGTACTGTATGTGTTATGCATTATTTTCTGAATCAGTGAGAATTCCTGTGTATGCACAGCATAAAATAATCTATGTGCAAAGGAGTCATTGTCTGCAAAAGCAGATATGTTCCACCTAAACATTGAAAACACAAGACAGAATATGAATAAAATAGAAATGACAGGAAATAATATAAAATAAAGCTTATTTTATAATATACTTCATGTCGTTGTCATTTAGTCGTGTCCGACTCTTCGTGACCCCATGGACCAGAGCACGCCAGGCCCTCCTATTTTCCACTGCCTCCCGGAATACTTCATGTAGAATATAAAATAAAATGCATACTTGAATGAATTCTAGAACCCATTCAATAGTGTGTGGGGGGGGGACTCATTTTTTCTTGAATGGGTCCAACCTACTGATGACCAAAGGATATAATGTCTGCTTTGTAAAATTATGGATAACTCCAAAAGTGTGGGAATATCCCCCCCCATATGATACACTGGTGGGGACAAAAAAGTACTTGTTGTTTAGTCGTTTAGTCGTGTCCGACTCTTCGTGACCCCATGGACCAGAGCACGCCAGGCCCTCCTGTCTTCCATTGCCTCCCGGAGCTGGGCCAAATTCATGTTGGTCACTTCGATGACACTGTACAACCATCTCATCCTCTGTTGTCCCCTTCTCCTCTTGCCCTCACACTTTCCTAACATCAGGGTCTTTTCCAGGGAGTCTTCTCTTCTCATGAGATGGCCAAAGTACTGGAGCCTCAGCTTCAGGACCTGTCCTTCCAGTGAGCACTCAGGCTTGATTTCCTTTAGAATGGATAGGTTTGTTCTCCTTGCAGTCCAGGGGACTCTCAAGAGTCTCCTCCAGCACCACAATTCAAAAGCATCAATTCTTCGGTGGTCAGCCTTCCTTATGGTCCAGCTCTCACTTCCGTACATCACTACAGGAAAAACCATAGCTTTGACTATTTGGACTTTTGTCGGCAAGGTGATGTCTCCGCTTTTTAAGATGCTGTCAAGGTTTGTCATTGCTTTCCTCCCAAGAAGCAGGCGTCTTAATTTCGTGGCTGCTGTCTCCATCTGCAGTGATCATGGAGCCCAAGAAAGTAAAATCTGTCACTACCTCCATATTTTCCCCTTCTATTTGCCAGGACGTGATGGGACCAGTGGCCATGATCTTAGTTTTTTTGATGTTGAGCTTCGGACCATTTTTTGCACTCTCCTCTTTCACCCTCATTACAAGGTTCCTTAATTCCTCCTCACTTTCTGCCATCAGAGTGGTATCATCTGCATATCTGAGATTGTTGATATTTCTTCCGGCAATCTTAATTCCAGTTTGGGATTCCTCCAGTCCAGCCTTTCGCATGATGTATTCTGCATATAAGTTAAAGTTTGTTGTGGTCGACACAGTCAAAGGCTTTTGCATAGTCAATGAAGCAGAAGTAGATGTTTTTCCGGAACTCTCTGGCTTTCTCCATAATCCAGCGCATGTTAGCAATTTGGTCTCTAGTTCCTCTGCCCCTTCGAAATCCAGCTTGCACTTCTGGGAGTTCTCGGTCCACATACTGCTGAATCCTACCTTGGAGGATTTTGAGCATAACCTTGCTAGCGTGGGAAATGAGTGCAATTGTATGGTAGTTGGAGCATTCTTTGGCACTGCCCTTCTTTGGGATTGGAATGTAGACTGATCTTTTCCAGTCCTCTGGCCACTGCTGAGTTTTCCAAACTTGCTGGCATATTGAATGTAGCACCTTAACAGCGTCATCTTTCAAGATTTTAAATAGTTCCACTGGAATACCATCACCTCCACTGGCCTTGTTGTTAGACAAGGTTTCTAAGGCCCACTTGATTTCACTCTCCAGGATGTCTGGCTCAAGGTCAGCAACTACACTATCTGGGTTGTCAGGGATATCCAAGTCTTTCTGGTATAGTTCCTCTGTGTATTCTTGCCACCTCTTCTTGATGTCTTCTGCTTCTGTGAGGTCTCTCCCTTTTTTGTCCTTTATCATGTTCACCTTTACACAAAATGTTCCTTTACTATCTCCAATTTTCCTGAACAGATCTCTGGTTTTTCTCTTTCTATTATTTTCCTCTGTTTCTTTGCATTGTTCATTTAAGAAGGCCCTCTTGTCTCTCCTTGCTATTCTTTGGAAGTCTGCATTCAATTTTCCCTATCTCCCTTGCATTTTGTTTTCCTTCTCTTCTCTGCTATTTGTAAGGCCTCATTGGACAGCCACTTTGCTTTCTTGCATTTCCTTTTCTTTGGGATGGTTAAAGTACTTACATGGCCAAAAAAAGAGGGGGGGCTTTTTATCTCAACCGTTTTTTTTCCTCATGGGAAAAATTATATATGGTAAGAAGCTGAAATTTTGTAGCATGATTTACAACTGCGCAGGAGTTAACACAGCATGTGTGTGTTTAGTCGTTTAGTCGTGTCCGACTCTTCGTGACCCCATGGACCAGAGCACGCCAGGCCCTCCTGTCTTCCATTGCCTCCCGGAGCTGGGCCAAATTCATGTTGGTCACTTCGATGACACTGTACAACCATCTCATCCTCTGTTGTCCCCTTCTCCTCTTGCCCTCACACTTTCCTAACATCAGGGTCTTTTCCAGGGAGTCTTCTCTTCTCATGAGATGGCCAAAGTACTGGAGCCTCAGCTTCAGCACCTGTCCTTCCAGTGAGCACTCAGGCTTGATTTCCTTTAGAATGGATAGGTTTGTTCTCCTTGCAGTCCAGGGGACTCTCAAGAGCCTCCTCCAACACAACAATTCAAAGGCATCAATTCTTCGGCGGTCAGCTTTCTTTATGGTCCAGCTCTCACTTCCATACATCAAAATATACGAGGTTTCAAATATTTTGATTCTATACTATGATTAAAGAACATATATGATTCAGATTCAACCTAATATATTTTAATAAACAAGTTCTGTTGGGAGCAAGTATCTGATTAAAGCCTCTGGTGCAGGCTGTACCCAGAGCCCAGAGATGCCTTCAGAAATTACTCCACTGACTCCAATAATGACTTCACCTTTCCATTCACTTCAGTTACAATGAATGTGTTCTATTCGATCATTCTTCCCCAGGGTCCAAGATGTTTCGGCATTCCTCTTAGTCGTAGTTTTTTTCCAGCTTGCTGAGGATTCTAACTCCAAAATCCACCACTGTCATTTGTCTCCTTAGAAGTGGAACAAGTGTTTCTGAACTTCTCATTATGGACTCCTCCGCTCTTCCTCAGTAGCATGTTGGACGCCTTCCGACCTGAGGGGCCCATCTTCCAGCGTCATATCTTTTAGCCTTTTGTTTCTGATCATGGGGCGTTCTTGGCAAAGATACTGGAGTGGCTTGCCATTTCCTACTCCAGGTGGATTGCGTTTAGTCAGAACTCTCCACTATGTCCTGTCCGTCTTGGGTGTCCCTGCACGGCATAGCCCATAGTTTCTCTGAGTTACTCAAGCCCCTTCGCCACGACAAGGCAGCAATCCATGAAGAAGAACACAGCATGACTGTACTGTAAATCTATACCTCTGTGGATTCTACCCTCCCGGAACTAAAATGTCTCATCCAAGTGTATAGGATTCATGTAAACCTATACTGCTTATAGTTTGTACAAGAAAAGCTGCATGGTTCACCATGTTACTTTCTCTACATGACTACAGACAGAGCCTCTGTTTTCATAAGGATATTGGCACGTGTGAAATAAGGCAGATAGCAGCATTCTTTATTGTGCCAGTTTTCTTTAAGGTTAATAGTGTCATCTTATATGTATCTACTCAGAAGTTATTCCCAAGAAAGTGTGTATAATATTGATCTACATCATATTTGGTTTAGACATCATTAAATATAATGTAATTTTGCTGCAGGAAATCAACATATTTGTAAGCATTTTATTTATACAAAACTAAGTCACTAGGAAATAATGTCTGATCATCCAAGAAACACTCTCTAGTGATATATTTATTGCAAGCCTGCACACATTTTTACTAATCACCTAATTTCCAACACTATCATATGGTTTTTAAGGAAGGCATAACTCTGTGAATTTTCTTAGATAATTAGGCTACTTACTTGTATCTGAGAAACAGCCACTGGATTATCCATAATCCAACGAGTATAATTCCATTTATTTCTGATACAGAAAAAGCCCATTCCACGCGATCAATATAATCAAAAAATTTATCAGGCAATGGAGGACTGAGCTCCTTGGGAGGCACCCTCTCATGTACCACTGTGATCATAACAGTTGTTAGAATTAAGTTGAAAATAGCATATACAAAAGCAATGCCTGTTTTCCACCATTCCAAAGGGAATTTGTTTCTAGATTCAGTGGGCATAGAAATCTGTATATAGTCTGGATACTTCTTAGCACCTTTACGCAAACCATTGGACAAGACCTTTGGTTTACTGCTACCATTCTTGTTTTCCTCATCGACAGTAAGAGCAGGCCGAGCATAACCATTTGCCGTTTCATTGTTCTGGCTTTCCATGTGCTCTTCAAGCTTTGCTGTCTCTATGGTTTCCATCAGGTCTAACGGGGGTTGGAGTGGCAGAATAAACAAACTCCTGTCTTGATTCCTTAAAATATCTTCCACTTCTTTAATGTTGGCCTCCTGCACTTTCCACCGATCTCAGTCTTTTAACAAAGCATGCAGAAAATGTGGATCTCACTTTCTCTGGTAGTTTTGCTTCAGTTCTTTGAAAGAAGTCTCATATGTTTTCCTTCCAAGGACTGTCAACATGTTCTCTGCAAAGATAATGAAGATATTAAAAAATGCAAAATCAACACACTCACCTTCAACAGATATGCTAAATTATACCACAAAATAATATATAAACAAAGAAACTGAAATATTGTTGGTTTTTTAATACAGGGAATTTTTCTAGAGGTAGGTTCTTATTATGAAGTAAAGAACAAAGATACGGCATCTGCCAAGGTAGTGGTTCCCAACCTTCAGTCCCCAAATGTTCTTGGACTACAGAAATCCTGGCCCATACAGCTAGTGGTGGAAGCTTCTGGGAGTTTTACTCCAAGGACATCTGGGAACTAGAGATGTAAAATTTCCAAAATTTCCATTTTTCCCCCAGAAAAAAAAGGGTTTTTTCCCCTTTTTCCCCCCCCAGAAAAAGTGGAATTTTTTGTAAAGTTTATGTCTCTCCAGGGAAGCCAAGGTTGAACCACTGTACTAAGGGATGGGGTTCCATTTCATAAGAAAGAATGAATATCTTTTATTTATGTATCTATCTATCATATGCATACAATCACCCTATGTTTATGCAATGCATATTTTCATCCAAACTTCTATAAGATATAATAAGGTATCACAAAACAATGTTACCAGGAAGAGAGCAAACTCCTATCCTCATTCAAATTAACGCTATGAAAGTTTATGAGATAACATTGTTTGGCATCTGTTAATTCCAGAATTTGAGAAGAAGCAGCCATGACACTATGAATTTTTAGCCCTATTAATTTTTCTTCTTGTTCCAACTTCACAAACATCAATTTACATATCAATACTGCATATCAACAGTTATAACCATAATTTATAGTAGGAACTTCATCAATCTCCAAATATTTAGCAATCAAGATTCTTGCAGTGAAAACTAAATGTTTGTTATGTGCCATCAAGTTAGTTACAGTGACACATGCCTTAGTTACATCCCAGCTAGATTACTGTAATCTGCTCTATGTGGGGTTGCCTATGTAAAGTGTTAGGAAATGTTGTGGGTCGAAAATGCTGTAGCCAGAATGCTAACTGGGGCTGAGCACAAGGATTACATAACTTCCTGTTACAGTAGCTCCATTGGCAGCGAATCAATTTCCAGGAGCTGTTTTTAACCTATAAAACACTAAACAGCTTGAGTCTAAGCTATCTCAAGGACTCCATCTCCTTTTATGAGCCTGTCCAGTTATTATGATAATCAATGGAGGCCTTTCTCTCAGTTTCATCACTTTCACAGGGGCTTTTTGGTGAGTAAAGGGGAGGGAACCTTCTCTGTTACTGTTCCCGGACTTCGGAACTCCCTCCCACAGAAGGCCAGACTGGACCCATCTTTGCTAATCTTCCACAAGCAGGCAAAGACCTTTCTCTTCAGGCAAGCTTTTCCTCAGTGACTGACTGTCTCATTGGGTTTTTTAATGGACTGTTATGCCTTCCAGCTTTGAGCATGTTTTTCGTATTGCTTTTGTTTACCATTTCTCAGATTTCTGTTTGTTCCTTTTAAATATTCGTATACTCATTTTAGCTCTAAATGTCTTTTAATGATGTAAGCCAACTTGGGTCCTTTTTAAGGAGAAAGGTGTGGTAAATATATTTTGAAGTAAAAACAAATAAATTATGGGGACTTTATAAAGTACCATTATTTGATGTACTGGATGAACAAAAGGAGTTAACAGATTCAGTAAGAAAATTTGTGACATATTTCATAAAGTAGTACCTCTTAAATGATACTATGTAGTTTCTTCCAGAACCTTTTTACTCTACTGCATTTCTCACTATATATGTCTAAATGTACTATTCCCATTTCTACAATACCAATATATCATATTCATCCTGGAAACATTTTGTTCAATCCAGATGAAGTGTAATATCATAGATTATTTTTAATTGATTTTTCTATAGATAGTCTATTAAGATTCTCAAAGATCTAATTCCACTGTGCTGATGTTAACTTATATTCTATATCCTCCCATTTATCTTTAAACATCAGTCTCTAACATCAAACAATTGCAAATTTTAATAGCAAAGCTTTCCTTTGTTTGCTCTTTCTTGTTACAAGCTTAAACCCTATCAAGTATGCATTTAGCTTTTAAAAAATTCTGCCATGAAAAGCTAATTGATCCTCTCTAAAATTGCTTCCCTTTATGCATAAATAACCTCCTTTTTTCTTCCTTTTTCCTAAAATAGGATGTAATCTTCTTCCAATATATTCATCAAATACAAAAATACCTTGTAGTTGTTGAAGGGATAGCCATGTTAGTCTGTGCAAGCATTATAGGTAAAAATAAAAGAAAAAAATAAAAAATGTGGTGGCACCTTCAAGATTAACTTTTATAATTTTTGATGTGAGCTTTTCATGGACAAGTCCACTTCATCAGACATCATGGACACATCAAATACAGAATACAGTGCACAAGACGACGACCCTGCTAAACGACGAATCCGCATAATGATGACTTTTTTGATCACTATAGCGATTCGTAAAACAGTCATTCCAATGGGGGATTTTCGATGGACGTCGATTAGGTCCGTGCTTCGCGAACTGTTCGCAAGACGACAATTTTTTCGGCTTCACAAAATGGCTGCCCTGTGTTTTCCGGACCCATGCTTCGCAGGGCAGCCATTTGAATGAAGACAGAACATGCCTGGTGACCATGGAATGCTTATCTAGTGTCACAGGGAACTTTTTAATAAATTGGCTGAAGGAATGCAGTATCTTGGAGGATAACATGGCTGGAACTGTTAGCAGAAGCGTTCCAAAATATATGAACGACGTATGGAAGCACTGAAGCACTCTCACTGATATCCCAACAAGTTGGATAATAGGTCTTTAAGACTGATTTCCCCATATACATATGTGCATCACTCTAAATACTTCGACATTAGCCATGCTTCTACATTACATCATCAATTTAGGTATCTAATCTGTTTCTCACTAGATTAGTATTACATTTACATCTCATGTTTTGAACAACACACCACCAACAAAAAACCTGGGGAAACTCACAAATTAAAGGAGGCATAGCCATGTCAGTACTGCAACAAAAACAAAGTGCTGTGGCACCATCATACACTTATCACAGCATATGCCTTTTGTGGCCTATAGACCATGTTATCTGATGCACAAATGTAAAATTACATGAGATTAAAAACAAAATGAAACAAGAGACCAGCAGGACATTATCAAAAAACACAGCAACAACAAAACCAACCTCATTTGTTAAGCAACAATAAGCAGCTCATTGCTCCCAATAATGGCTACAAAGACGTGCTGGAAAGTATAGCCTGCACGTATCTAATCTGTTAACAGACAAGGGCTGAAGCATGATTCCCCATAAGATGTTTTGCTGTATTATTACTACTGCCAAGAAGATCCTAACACCAGACAAGCTTGTTTTGCATGTGACACATGGCTCTCAAGTAGGGCCACTAAGAAAATCTCAAGCCACTGGCAACAGTTATACCGGACAGTCTGTGCCCATATTATGTTCATAGACAAAACATGGGCACATAACATAATTCTCTTGACAAGCATGCTCCTATTTTTTATCTGCTGAGAATGCAATGCAGGCCAGGCACTTGAGGAGAACTGGAGGTGCATGGGACACATGGCTAACTTTCAGAACAAATTTTCCCCTGCAAACAAACCTTTCCAGTTATTGGAGTCTTATGGGTAGAGAAAAGGAAGGAGAGAACAATGATTGAACATGGAATGGCAGGCATCTGCATGAGTCAATCAATGGATTAAGAACCCTCCTCTCTCTCCTAAAATATGACAATCCTCCACATTCATTACAAGAGGGAGAATAGAGCTGAGAACCCCATGTTTCCTTTCTGACTGTCCGTTCCTCTCTTAGAGACTGAAACATGTTCCTGTTGACCTGTGTTTCTTTTCTCATATCTGTATGCCAAGTGCGGCTTCACATTTTCCTCTGGATCACTAGAAGTAGCACCAAATAATCTGTAGCCATTAGAAACCAAGTCATTTGTATGCTACAAACACTGAACACTTGGGTCAAGATCACTGGGAACAACACATGACTAAGCAATCAGTCAAAGGACTATGCTCTGAATGTTCTACTCACTAGAGTTTATTTGCTTTGGCTCACCTTTGTTTTCAAACCAATGTAAACAATAGAATGTGCCAACAGGATATCAGTCATGAAGGAATAACGCAGTTACTACCATTAATTGCAAGTCTAAATAAAGTAAGAAACAATGATTAAGACACTAAAAAAACAACAAAGCTCTGTACTGAAAAACAAATGTTTAATCTGAATGAACAAAACTATAGAAATTTGTCTCTACTGTGCAAAAACAATGAAATGTGATTATTACTATAGGGCTGATAGACAATAAACAAAAATCAAATGCTCTTTTTCAATGTTACTGTAAATTATTTTCAGACTATTGATTCTTAGGCAGCAGAGCACACATTTGCCACAAGATACACCCATGAATGTATGTCCATGCATTGTGCAGTGTTTTCCTTTTGCCAATATAAAGACAGCTACAGTTATAGTGGAGAGTGATTCAAATCCTCTGTTAGTCACAGAAGCTCACTGGGGGTGTGGAACTGTTAAAACCACTCCTTAAATATCTCACTTACCTTGATAACCCTATTAAGGTCACTATAAATTAGTTCTGACTTGACAGCACATAATAAACAACAGTTACCCTTACGGAAAAAGAACATCAGTTATGAGGCAGCAACTCAGATCACAGATAAATCTGGAGATTCATGAGTTAATCTCAGAGGCATAATCCCAACCCCCCCCCGTCGTTTCTGACAGATTATGAGCAAAGGAAATAAAAAGTAGATTTTTTTTGGAGGAAGGAAGCTTTCTGTGCATTGTTTGGGAAAGCTAATATGGAAAATACACACATATCATTTGAATGTAAGAACTGGGTGTGTCTGCCATTTCAATCCAGGGCAGGAAAAGGAGTAAGAGTAAGAGAATAAAAGAACTATGTTTATAATTCAAACAAAAGGTATTAAAAGGAGGCGATACACTGATCTATG